CTTAACCATCCCCAGGCATTAAACATATTTTTTTTTTTTAAAAAAAACTTTATTCATTAGTAAGTAGAGGCATAAAAACTGAAATAACAAGGAATCACCATTTCAATTCATCACCATGAGACTGTCAATAAGCAGGATGATCCTAGGTATCAGCAGGACATGGGAAAGGGACTATGATCCGTGTTAAACCTGGCCAAACCGACCAAGAAGAAGTGACCAGGGAGCATAGACAAGTGTGCACCCTACCACAGAGTTTGGAAAGAGGATTTTTTTTTAATTTTTAAAAAAATCTCTTTTGGGTGGGGAGAGAGAAGGATTTTTGAAAACAAGGTCTCAAGTAGCCCAGACTGGTCTTGAACTTACTATGTGGCCAGGAATGACCTTGAATTCCTGTCCTCCTGCCTTTACTTTCCAAGTGCTGGGATTACAGGCATATACCCACCCACTACCCTCACCACCCCTGGCTTGGAGAAGAATTTTTTTAAAGCTACAAGTAACCTGTCTTTAGCTTTGCTTATTTCTTTAGTTTTTTATTATTTATAACCAGATCAGTTAAAAATCAAAAAAATTAAGTTGTGCCTATTGGCACAGACCTATTATCGCTGCTAATCTGGAGACTGAGGCAGGAACACACAAGTTTAAGGCCTGCCTGGGCTCCAAAGGGAATTCAAGACCAGATTGGGCAACTTAGTGAAACCCTGACTGGCCTGGAACTCACTATGTATATCAGCTGGGGTTGCCTTTGTCTCCCAAGTGCCACCACACCCAATAACTACCCTTTTTTTTTTCTGTCTTTTTGAGACAGGGTCTCCTTGTAGTCCCAGCTGGCCTGGAACTCACTATGGAGACCAGGCTGGCCTCCAATTCACAGAGATATGCCTGCCTCTGCCTCCCAAGTCCTGGGATTAAAGGCATGTGCCACCATGCACCGGCTCTACCTTTTTTTCTTTTATTGGACTGGTCATATTTTATTAAATCCTCTCAAGACCTGTGAGAACTGCAACTGGTAGCTGCACTTCCAGCTACTTTGGAGGCTGAGACAGGAGGATCTGAATTTTTAAGGCCAGTCTGGCAACTAAGTGAGACTGTATCTAAGAATAAGTTTGGAAAGTAAAAGGAGACTGGGGATGTAGCTCAGTGGTGGGTAGCACCTCATATATATCACAATAGACATTGGGGTCAATCCTTAGTACCTCATAAAGCAAGAAGAAAATAAAAACTAAGACTGATATTATGCCCATCCTACTGGTAGTAACTGGTGTTCAGACATAGTGAAGCAGTATCTGATGTTAAATAGCTAGTGTCACATCTGGTGTGCCACTGCACCTCTAAAAATGCCACCGTGAACTAATATTTGAGGGCCTGTTTTGTACTAGGTGCGGGGCTGGACACAGGAATAGCTGTTGGTAATTCCTAAATTCATGGAGGGTAGTGAGGAAGCAGGTATCTATGTGGGCGCTACAGCTTACAGGTGAGCTAGGTCGTAGGCTCTGGCCTGAGAAAGGATTTGGGAAGGAGAGGAAATGGAGGCATCAGATCAGCTGGGAGCAAGGTGGGAAGGCCTTATTGGCTCTATAAAAGCAGAAAGAGTATTAGCAAATGAAGTTTTTCAGCAGTCATACTTTTGATAATTGAAACTTTGAAGCTTTTGTAAACTTATTTTCAGGCTGAAAAAAAGACTCCACTTGCCAGTACAGTTTCAGAATGTCAAGTACTGTGTCCTACTGGATCTTCAATTCTGCAAGAATAACTATATTGCTACATTTCAAGCAGGCAGACGTTTGTACTCGAGTGTGACGAATAGGAATCAGTTGAAATGGAGACTCTTTTCTCCTGCACTGCCCACTATAAAAAGCAGTTCCCCATGTGGTAACTTTGCTTTGTGGAAAGCCTACAGACACACATCAACTGAAGAAGAGGATTTCCACTTGCAGCTCAGCCCTGAGCAGGTCAATGAAGTGCTTCGAGCTGGCGAATTATCCCACAAGGTTCTTGATTTCAACAGTGGAGTCCTAAATTCAGTGTTGAGGTTTGAGAGCAACCAGCCGGCTGCCAACTCACCAGTGGAGGACCGACAAGGTGTAGCTTCCTGCCTGCAGACCAACGGGCTGATGTTTGGCATCTTTGATGGACACGGTGGCCATGCATGTGCGCAAGCAGTGAGCGAGAGGCTCTTCTACTACATGGCAGTGTCCCTGATGTCCCACCAGACTTTGGAGCAGATGGAAGACGCAATGGAAAACATGAAGCCCCTGCTGCCCATCCTGCAGTGGCTCAAGCACCCAGGGGACAGTATCTATAAGGATGTCACATCAGTACATCTGGACCACCTTCGTGTCTATTGTCAGGAACTGCTTGACCTGCATATGGAGATGGGGCTCAGCATTGAAGAAGCATTAATGTATTCCTTCCAGAGATTGGATTCTGACATCTCGCTCGAAATTCAGGCTCCCCTGGAAGATGAGGCGACGAGGAATTTGTCCCTCCAGGTTGCTTTCTCTGGAGCAACAGCTTGCATGGCCCATGTCAGTGGAGTTCACCTGCATGTAGCAAATGCTGGTGATTGTCGGGCTATCTTATCCTTGGTGCCCAGGAAGATAATGGTACGTGGTCCTGTTTACCTCTTACTGTGACCACAATGCCTGGAATGAGGTTGAGCTGTCCCGACTGAAGAGGGAACACCCTGAGTCAGAGGACAGGACACTCATCATAGATGATAGGCTGCTGGGGGTCCTTATACCCTGCAGGGCCTTTGGGGATGTCCAGCTGAAATGGAGTAAAGAGTTTCAGCACAGTGTCCTAGAGAGGGGCTTTGACACTGAGGCCCTCAACATCTACCAGTTCACGCCACCCCACTACCACACTCCACCCTATCTGACTGCCAAACCTGAGGTCACATACCACAGGCTGAGGCCCCAGGATAAGTTCCTTGTGTTGGCCTCAGATGGCTTGTGGGACATGCTGGGCAATGAGGATGTGGTGAGGCTGGTGGTGGGGCACCTGTCCAAAGTAGGTCACCACAAGCCAGACCTGGACCAAAGGCCAGCCAACCTGGGACTCATGCAGAGTCTGCTGCTGCAGAGGAAAGCCAGTGGACTCCATGCAGCTGACCAAAATGCAGCCACACATCTGATCAGACATGCCATCGGGAGCAATGAGTATGGGGAGATGGAGCCAGAGCGACTGGCTGCCATGCTGACATTGCCAGAGGATGTGGCCAGGATGTACCGGGATGATATCACTGTCACTGTTGCGTTTTTTAACTCAAATTCAATTGATACTTATTACAAGGGGGGTTAAGAGTCACACTAGGAGGTAATTTATGTCTAATCCCTAATTCCTGGCCTTTTTTACTTAGTAAAATGTTCTTGCTTGGCTGAGCCTTGGGGCTATTCATAGTTTTTAGTCTATCTGTCAAACACTCTGGTTCCATCTGGCACAATCCTACCTCTGCTCTGCTGCTGAACCTCACTCTGCTGCCACTGAAAGTCTTTCACTTGTTCTGCCTTCTAAAGGTTCCAAGTCAGGAGGCATGTGATCACATGGTAGTTGTAGTGGACATTTAGGCAGAACAGGCTTATTCAGTGGTTTGTGGACTTAAGAGTTCAGCCTGAATCTAGAGGTGAAAATACGAAGGTCCTAAGAACAGCCACGAGCCAAGGCTTTCTTTCTGCATTTTGAGAAGCAGGAAGGAGGAGGGAGATTTATCAGATGGGACATCTGCCCCTGACTGTGAGAAATTGCTTCAGGAATTAGATCGTAGTTAGTATCAGAGTTGGGCAGAAATACAAATGCAGCTCATCATAGTTTTCAGAGGCTGCAAAGTCTTTGTATTTACTTGAAAATTAACCCACACGGATCCTTTTTAGGGGATGAGTTTCCTCTTCTAATGAGTGGCTGTGGCATATAAACAGCAGGAAATGTGTCCCTAAATGGAAACAAATATTTTTTTGTAGGATTAGCCCTCAAAACTTGGCAGCTCTAGTTTCCTGTACCTCATCAGAACTCTTCAGTGTTGGTGAACTCTATTAGTTGATTCTTTGCTTCTTACCTGCAGTGCCATCCACTGAATAGCAGATAACTAGGTTTGGCTTCCTTGGCTTTACAAGTGACATTGTCAAGAGTTGGGACTGGGCTGATGAGATGGCTCACTGGGTAAAGGCTGCAACCTGAGTTCCATTCCTGGGACCCACACATGGGTAGAAGGAGAGAACCAACTCCTGAAAACTGTCCTCTGACCTCCACATGCATGCACTCACACAAAATAAATTGGAAAAAAATTCATAAAAGAATTAGGATCATTCTGTACAGGTATAATCATTTTCCATTATACCTGTTTAGTAATGTGGTTTCATATGTGAAATTTTCTTTTGGGTATTTAAGCCTTGGTCCTTTTGTTCTGAAACCATTACTGTTCTTTCTGATCTCTTACACGTTTACCCAAAAACAAAATGTGATTCTCCATTGAGGTTCCCATACCCACATTTGGGCATGTTTACTTTCTGTGACTCTTTGAGAAGTCCACACCCATATACTCTGGTGTGTCTTACTTTTCCTTTGAGTGCCTCTTTCTCTTAACCCTCATGCTTAAGCCTATTCTAAATGATTAGACCCCAACTCAGCTTCCTAAAATTAAAAGATAATATAAAATATACACTAAGCATGGTATCTAATGCCAGTAATCCCAGTGCTTGGGCAGTAGAGGCAGGAGGATCAGAAGTTTAAGGTACATAGGAAGTTCAAGGCCATCCAGGATATATGAGGCACTCTCTCAAAAAAAACAATGAGTCTTAGGCACTGAGGCAGGAGGACCTGAGTTTGAGGCTAGGGTAGGCTACAGAGTAAGACCCTGCCTCAGGAAAAAATGTGAATCATTGCCGTTGTGCTATCATGAAGGCTAGCTGATTGAATGGAAGTCTCTACTTCCCTTGAAATTTCCTTTGTCCTTTATTTTTCATGCCAGTTAAACCGTGGAGTATCCTTGGAGCCTTAAGTGGCATACAGTGTCTGGATCCTATTTTGGAACCCAGCATGGGTCATAAATGTATCTGATTCAGTAACTTATCCTGCAGTTGATAGAACACAGACGTCCCATCTATATCTCCAAGTGTGTCTGTGTTTTTTCACTGTCTAATAGATGTCTCTGTTTTCCAGTTGATATACTGAGAGAGAAGGAAGGCCTATTTATTGTCTACCTTTGTCTCTCTGTGAACTCAGCTCTTCCCATGACCACTCCAGGGAGCATTGCCTTCTGGTTAAATGCCAGTGTGTCTGCCTCCCTGGCAGTGACCTTGAAACATGGACTGCTGCTTTGAGACAGTAAACTTAGAGATTTGTGGTCCTTGTCAGTTCTTCCAAAGCTCTTGTCCCTCTGTTCTTAGGGAGATTAAAATTTCAAGACTTTGAAAGTTTAAATAATGAGATTGACCATTTAATATTTTAGATGTAACTTTTGAAGGAAGTATGCCTTGGTGCTTAAAATAATGTACTTATGATTTTGGGTAAGAAACTGATGGTATTGACATAATTTAGACACTTATGTGTAAATAATACAGTGCTGTTGACTTTGGAAACAAAACTATAGAGAAGATGCAAGCTCTGAATGTATGTTAGATCAAATTCATAAGATTCCATTCTCTGAGATGTTATTTGTATCATTAAAGCTAATTTATTATAATGTAAACTTTGAGGTATTTTAATATATAGATTTTTTTCCTCTCCGGAATTACATTTGGCCTAAGAGGTTTTTTAGCTTTTAGGCACACTGGACAAAACTTATGTTTGACAGCTTTTAATTATAGTAAAATATAAATGACTCGAACTTGAGTTAAAGAAGAGTATTATTACATAGAAGAGCATCAACAAAATGTATTCCAAAGGAGGCTGGTTCAGTTCTTTTGCCCATCAGTCTCTGGTGACCCCTCTTCTTTTGACAGCTATTGGGAAGCCTTCACTTCCCAGGTTAAACTGGAATATTCTGGAACTGAGCCATTTCTGTTTCATCATTCAGTGGTTTGTCTTTGAAACCTGAGTGCTGTGCAGAAGGAAAGCCTTCTGAAGCTTTGGATTTGAGGCTCAAGGCACAGTTTGTTGTAAGCTGTCACAGGTATGACCTAAGGGAAGCATGTGTTGGCTGCTGTGTAACCATTTCTTGAGCCCCCTGAGGCCCTGTCCTTTCCTCTTTTGGCTCCTGACGTCTAACTTGCCTCCTGGAAAATATTTCTTACCAAGCATTTTCTTGGAATAATCATTTATCATGTTCTTTAATAATTACTGGCATTTGTATTTTAAGCTGTGTACCAATGTTCCTATTTGACACTGATTTTCTAAGCATGGAGAATATTTAAGTAAAACTTGTAAATAAAAGACAAAATGAAATTTGGTTTCCTTTAGTTTGAATACTAATTTTTCTAGCCCTTAAGGATGCTAAGCAAACTGTTGTTTCAGCCCACTGACCTGACCAAGGAAGAATTTAGGCTATTTAAGGATCTCCAAAAGAGAAGCATGGTACTTTAACTTTTGGTAGCTACTGAGCACACAGGGAGTCCTCACTTAAGTTAGCCATGTGTGTGGTGACCCAAGAAGTAAACGGAAATGAAGCCTTTTTTTTTTTTTTTTTTGTCTTTTTGAGACAGGCTCTCCCTATAGCCCCAGCTGGCCTGGAATCCACTATATAGTCCAGGCTGGCTTTGAACTCACAAAGATCCACCTGCCCCCGCCTCCCAAGTGCTAGGACTAAAAGCATGTGCCACCATGCCCGGCAGAAATGAAAACTTTTGGTGTGAAGGTTCCACATACTCTAGGCTAAGGCCTGCTGAGATTTTATAGTTTATTGAGAACCTACCCATAAAACCAGCTTTCATATTATTATAGAGCCAGCTTTGGGGAAAGATCTAGACTGTTAATCTCCATGAACTGAAGAAGACCCCACTCCATCCCATTCCATGATTGTACTCTGCCTCAGTGTACACAGAGTGATGTTTTTGATTGGCCTGTAATAATGGCACATATTTATGGGGTACATTATGATGTGTCAATTTGTATATACATTGTATAATGATCAAATCCATCTCTCTCTCTCTCTCTCTTTTTTTTTTTGAGACAGGGTCTCTCTGTAGGCCTGGCACTTGCTATGTAGAGCAGGCTGGCCTTGATCCCAGAGATCTGCATGTCTCTGTCTTCCAAGTGCTGGGACTAAAGGCATGTAACACTGAGCCAGGCTGGGGGTGGGGATGGTATCCATTTCTTTTAATCATTTCTTGAGCAAATTTTGGTGAAAAAAGATGGGAGAGTATAGAGGTCTGGTAAGAATGAGGAGGAGCTATTGCCTTGCTTTTAAAAATATTCTTTATATTTTTGTGTGTACAGTTTATTGCCTGCATATGTGTAAGTGCACCCATGTCATGTAATGTGCATGGAGATCAGAAGAGGGCTTCAGATCCCCTGGAGCTAGAGTTACTGATGGTTGTTAGTCATCATGTGGGTGCTGAGAATCGAACCCGGGCCTCTGCAAGAGCAGCCAGTGCTCTTAACCACCATTTCTCCAGCCCCAAGAATTAACTCTTAATACTGCTTTGGCTACCAGGAATCAGCTTACATAGCCTCAGTTTACATATCAATGGCCCATCATTTTGGAACATAAAATAGAACTCAGGGGCTATGGGGAATGGCTCAGTGGTAAAGTGCTCACTGCACAGGCATGAAGACCTGAGTTAGATTCTGGCATTTATTTAAAAAAAAAAAAGAAAAAGAAAAAAAAGAAAAAAGAAAGCCACATAAAAACGCGAAAAAGAACACATGTAAAAAAGCTAGGAATAGTGGCACATCTAATCACGTGCTGAGGAGGTAGAGACAGGCAGACCCCTGCCACTCACTGACTGGACAGTCCAGCCTAATCTGGCAAGCTCTAGGTCAACCTATGACAAACCTTCTCTCAAAAAACAAGGTGGATTGTTCTTAAGGAACAACACCCCAGGCTGTTCTCTGGACTCCTCCCACATGTGCTCACCTGTGCACAAACACATATCCACATGTACATGTGTACATACAAACATATACAAAATAGAACACAGGAAAATTAAATTTAAAAAATAAGGTGTTTTAGCTCTTTAGCCAGAAAGAGAAAAAAAAGATGGAACATCTAGATGGCCTTGCTTAAGACAAGGACTTAACCCTAGGTGGTCTCAACCTTGTAATTCCCTTGTCCCAGCCTCCAGATTGCTGGGATTACAGGTATGCAACACTAGAAAAAGCTAAAATTATAAATTTGTTTCACCTTTCACCTCCAGGATTTTTGTTCT